GCTGCTAGATTTGTACTTCGAGTACGCTCTGCTCCGTCATGACGACCGATCAACACTCACACTTCCGCACGAAGATTCCGCACAAGAGGTGAAGCATGGAACGGACTATATGGTTCTCTTCCGTACTCATATGATCTCTGGCCCCTCAGATATGCAACGCACCGACCAGTTGCACACTACATGTGGACTGCGACTGAGCAAAGAGTGGGTTGTTTCCGATGACGTGAACTGGCGTTCCGCTGAAAAGTTTCTCGTTCGTGTACACAATCTAAGAATTCGCAGCTTGATCAGCCCAACAATACTCACCGAGACGATCACAACTAGTGAGAACGCGGTGACTCAACGTCTTCGATCCGGTGGCGATTACGTACCGAGACCATGGCAACTCAATTATACGTTTAGAAGTTCGCCATTGACCGAAGGCCTTCTCATGATTAAATACGCGTACGCGGTTGGCGAACCTGCCGGGTGGTCTTCTGTGTTCATGGTCTATAGTCATTTCGATACGTTTGTGGCACGCTCGTGCGTATCCCATCGTTTGAATGATGAGAAAGAAACCGACAAGAGTGTTTTAACGGTTCAGTACGGATGCGTACTCCTGCGCGAGTGTGTAGGATGTATGATATATGCAGTGCACTATCCAGATGCCAAAAAGAATAAATCAAATTTCGAGCAAGAATTTTTCCCTCACGTTGCAAATTTCGTCAAGCAAAAAGTTGCCGGAGTGTCTAATCAACAAATATCATTGCCTAAAGACGCACGAGGGGACTACAAGTTTGTTCTGTTAAATGTCCGGTGGAGAAGTGCAGTGAACATTGGCGATTTTGTCCAAATGCACGGATTTCTGGGTGGGGTAAATTCTCCAGAGCCAGAATGCTTGTACGGTTATTACCGAGCAGAGCAGCCCCTTCATCTAAGCAAAAATTTCCTACTGAAGACAAATAACACGTGGGAATATTTTGTGCTTTACAAGCACCATGTACGTATATCAGACACGGGTTTCTACAAGTGCGTCGTTTCTTCTTGTCAGAACTGCTCAACTATTGTTGGTTTCGAAGAGCGGCTGCTAGAAGTTCTACCGGACTCCTCCATGTTGCAACTAAAAGTCGAGCGTGAGGCAGCACAGGAACCGCGGTGTCGTCGTGGTGATATTTCCACCGTACGACCAGGAGAGGAGCTCCGGGTCATTTGTTCCCACACGGTGGCACTGGGCGCCCCCACCGATAGGTATCATACAATCACCCATGGCTTTGTGAATGACTCAGTTGCTAACGGTAGAATAAGTAACCTGGTCATCGCGTCCGTTACAAACAAAGTAGAATCGATCACGCTTTTGTCTACGGGACTTGTCCGAGTACCCAACCTTAACGAACCCTTTAAGCAATGGTACATTCAATGTTACTTGGTAGAGAACGTTGCACACAATGCGTACGGAACAGCAATCCACTCAAGCACAAGTACGGGTAATGTGCGTAAGGAAATAGTGCTCGATGTAGTAAACAGGTGGGATCCAGTAATTATCGCACATTCAGTAGAAACGGGCGCTGGTAGAGTGGTGCACCAGTTGGCGAATGCAGCGTCACGTGATTCGGGCAAAGAAGCCTTCATGGCCAGCGGTGGTGGTGATAACGGGAAGCTGATTGAAGAAGACGTCTTCAAGGTGGTCTTCACAGCCGACGTCGGTCTACCCAAGTTGAAAAACCGGGAAGTTTCTAGTTCGCTTGATCACGACGATTTGATCAGCATAGTAGGTTCTATGGAAAGCACTTATTTGTCCATAACGTGTCAGAATTGACCTTGACAGGTAATTCCATATAAACGTCCTACTTGGCTGCCTGCTTTGAACTTTGTGTTTGAGTGTACTTCTCTATAAACTCCGACAATAACCGTTCGACCTAAAGGGTTTTACTTTGTTCCAACTGATCGGTTAGGCAGTCTGCCGAGCATAGCCGTCTGGCACGACTTCACAAGTGTCCGCTTGTATCGCATTGGTGCAAAACTATTGAAATCTAGGTATTGGCCGGACCATGTGTCCTCTCGGTAGACTTATCTCCTAACCCGCCTGTTCTCGCAGTGCCGGATAAAATCAATAACGACAGACAATTTTCTCGCTCTCTCTCTCTCTCTCAAGTGAGCAGCAGGTTGATACATACACTACTGAATCGCTCTATCGAACGCGCGATCTACCGTCCTGGTGAACAAACAGCCAAAATGTCGTCACTATAGTGCTTGCAGTATGGCAGCTGGTCTATCTGAGTGGACATGCCTCTCAAGGTCACCCTCACACACGCGTGACGTGCGTGCTACTGGTTCATTTGGATTATTTCCCTCTATCCTCTCTCCATCTTCTCGCAGCGTTGTCACTGTACGCTCATTCGAACCGGATTTACCAGCTCTACACAGTGATCCATCATACGTGGAAATATCTTCTACGATTAGAGGCTGCACCATCGCCAACCGTTTTCATTGGCATCTGTGATTAAGCGCAAGCGTTTGATTCAATCGTATTGAGCCGATTGCCATTCTGTGTGACACCATTCGATACAGAATTCTCGAGGCAGGCCGGAAAGCCTAAGCTTACTCCGATCTAGTGTTTCTCAACACAGCTGTGAAAGAATCTGTGATCTGTCAATCTGCGTGGCCTAAACAGAGTAACACGCACTAGGTACAGCCACACTCTCATCTCCGGGGACTTCAATCTACACCATCTGGAGGTTTCGGCATCGCCCAGTGAGCAGTTCAAAGCAGACTTGCAGGAACTGATCGCTAATATTCCTTTGTACAATCACGTCACCACGCCCACTAGATTCAGGACAGCAAACAAACCGTCCATATTGGACCTTGTGCTCACAAATGAAGAGCTCATGATTGACAAGTTATTGATGGATAGTCCATTAGGTCTCAGTGACCACGTAGTAATAACTTTTGACTATGTATGTTATGCAGAGTATCCATCTGAACACTCGGAACTAACTCATACAATCACACGCTACCATGTATTGAAAGAACTCGCCGACGCAGCTTCTTGGGAATTCTCAAACAAAAGTCCCCTTTACAACGTTTGGGCAGAGTTCGTTAATAAACTCAGCGACGTCGTCAACAGAGCATCAGAGACCAAACCCCGTCGTCCCGCGAAAATGCCTTCAATTATAAGGAGTAGGACTCGCAAATGCCTGGCGATAAGGGATGCAGCATGGCGTGCCTACAAGATTAACCCCAACTCAGAGACTTGGGGAAATTTCCTGGCCCATCGAAACCATTGCACCGCACTTGTCCGTGAGGACAAAATAACTTATCAACAGTGCCTAGCCAAAAAGTTCATGACAAACAACAAACTGCTGTATAAGCATGTCAATAAGCTTCGTAAATTGAAGCATGGAATACCCCCACTATTCACGGCAGGCGGTAGAGTACAAAGCGCCGAAGAAGCAGCTAATGCCCTGCGGCTGCAATACGCCCTAATTTTTGGACTCGCAATCTCTACCTGTCCCATAATATCAAGCTCATTACCGACACCTCTGTTTACAAATGTTATTTCCAACCCATCAATTGTGCTAAGGAAGTTACTCTCACTGCTTGAACATAGTTCTCCGGGAGCAGACAACATCCGCCTGAAGGCACTGAAGGCTATGGCCACCAAGCTAGCTGAACCACTGTCACAGTTCTTCCAAAGGTGCTTTGATGAACAACAAGTCCCCACTATGTGGAAGTGTGGCATTATAACCCCTATTTTTAAAGGCGGTAGCCGTTCCGATCCTGCTAACTATCGTCCAGTGACTCTCCTCCCTGTGCTCGCGAAGGTGATGGAAGCAGTCGTCGCTGAGGCTTTAATGGACTACCTGGAAAAATGCCACATCTTGGTACCGGAACAGCATGGCTTCCGTCAACACCGGTCATGCGCCACCAACCTACTCATTGCACGAGGAAGTTGGACGAAATTGGCCGATGATGGGGTCGGAGTCGACGTCATCTATCTGGACTTCTCCAAAGCTTTCGACCGCCTTGATCACCGCATCCTACTTCAAAGACTACAAAGTTACGGAATCGGAGATCCAGTACTTGGTTGGATTGGCAACTTCCTTTACCAACGAAAACTCCAAGTAAGTGTTAGGGGATCACTTTCTAATCCAATTGACGTGGAATGTGGTGTCCCACAAGGCTCAGTGCTGGGACCGCGTTTATTCCTGGTGTTTATCAACGACCTGACAAGAGTCATCTCTTCAAACTTCCTGCTTTTCGCCGATGACGTCAAGATATGGCGGGCGATTAGTAACAAGACAGATCAGGATCTGCTCCAACATGACCTAGATTGCATTTACGAATGGTCAAGGAGAAACAAGCTTCAATTGAACATGGCTAAATGCAAAGTGATGCATCTGTGTCACCAGCCGGTGAGCGCTTACAAGATTGGAGATCACATCTTGGCAAAGGTTTCTCAGGAGCGTGACCTGGGTGTATTGGTACAGGAAGATCTAGGGTGTTCCAAACAAGCAGAGAAGGCGACGAGAACCGGAAATCAACACTTCGGCATTCTTCGCAGAGCCTTCGGTCGGTTTGAACCCTCAATCTTTCCCCAAATGCTTAACGCCTACGTGCGACCTCACGTGGAATATGCTATTCAGGCGTGGCAGCCGTGGCAGAAACAGGATCTCCTTGCTCTCGAGACTCCTCAACGACGGGCAACCAAGAATGTCAGGGGCCTCTTTCATCTGCCCTATCAGCTCAGACTGAAATCTCTAAGAATATACAGTAGTCGATATCGGCTTTTGCGGGGGACCTCATAATGGTTTACCAGATTCTGAAGAACCCAAACCACATTTGCCGTCCGCTGCTGGAATTGAACCAAAACACTAAACTAAGAGGTCACCCACTGAAACTGACAATTCATTATAGCCGGCTTGAATGCCGCAAAAATTTCTTTTCTCTCCGCGTGTGTGAGCCTTGGAACGCCCTCCCTAATTATGTCGTCTCTGCTCCCAATCTGGCGATGTTTAAAAAACGTGTTGACGATGCATTGTCTCACTTACATTTCATTTTATGACTTGTTAGCCAGGGGCTACAAAATGCAACCAAACGGTTTCTTGCCAAACGCCTAACCAATGGATTTATGGATTTATACGTTTGATATGCGAACATCGCTATTCCGCATAAGTCTATGGTGAGTCCACCACAACGCTTTTCACTTTATTATGCAATTGATTTTCGCAATAATTTCCATCCCACGGGACTTTTTAAGCGATGCTTTTTGACCCGTAATAAACCATTGTCTATTGTCCATTGTTCAGCGCTCTGTTCAGGTTGCAGTCACTCGCCATTCCTTGTGACCTTGTCAGCCAGTGCGGCTGCATTACCCATCACATGGACCGCGCGACCACGCCGACCGCTCATTTGACCTTGCAACCACCACGCTCGCCTGACCGATGTGCGCCGCTCTCAAAGCTGTAAAAGTACAGAACGTTAACCAACCCACTGGGTCAGGTAACGACACCAAATTGAATGGCAGAAAGGCGAAACCGAAGAGACTCCCATCGAAAGGCATTTGTGGGTTAGGAGAATGTCATCGGGTAGTAAAAATCGGTCTAGCTTGTTCGCACTGTTTGGAATGGTACCATACGAAATGTGCAAATGTGTCCCAACAACAGTTACAGGAGCGAAATAGCTCCCAAGATGCATTTTGGTTCTGTCCTGCGTGTTCCACCATCCCCCTCGTTAAGTGCTTGCTTATCCTAGCTGAGAAATGCGACCGGTTAATCGCAGAAGCGGAGCAGAGGATAAACGATAAGATTACTTCAATGGGAGCGAGTATGGACCACAGAAGCGTAGCGGTTGCTAAGCAACGGAATGCTGAACAAACCACTTCCCCTGCACCGCAATCAGCCACGTCTCCATCTCCGTTGTCTTCTCCAACTTTGGTAGAACGCCGGGCGAAAATAGACTGTACCTACGTGAATCAAGCAGTACTCACAGCAAAGAAAATCAGGCACCATTCAAAACGTCTGGTTAAGTAAATTCCACTAGACCTAACATCTGGTATTAACAAGGATGGAGCAGCCAAAAACCAACCCTTGGTATCTGTCGTCTGGAGTGCCGCAGAAATTTCTTTTCCATCCGTGTCTGTCACCCGTGGAATGCTCTCCCAGAATCGGTCGTCTCTGCACTGACACTAACCATATTTAAAAGACGGTTGGACGATGCACTCATCCACTTACACTTTGTTACTTAACACTACCTCTCCATCCTACACCTGGAGTTTACCCTGGAATTATTTGTTGTTAACTGTGGGTGTTGTGAATCTAAGTGGATCGCACGGCTGCAGCGAAGCAAACGATAAGTCCTTATTTTCGTATTCAAAGTATTAACTATTTTACTATCCTTTTCATCATAATTGTTATGTTGATATTCCCACCAACTATCCAACGGGGCTTGTAAAGCAACGCTTCTTAACCCGTATAAAATCATTGTTCATTGTACCTGTAGCTCAAATACCTCTTGTCCAGACTAAGCCTCCAAGAACATCGGTTACATATGCAGAGATTGCTGCAAGGGTCCACCGAGAGGCCGCCGTTGCGTCCTCTTCCATTGTAAACACCGTTAACGCAAATGGAGAGAAAAACTGCAAACAATCACTCGTCAACAAGTCAAGACAAATGAGTACCATAACTTGTAGATCGATTAAAAAGGAATCCAACAACAGTGCCCGGACTGTTGTATGCTCAAATGTCCCTGAATCTACCGCCATCACATTGC